ATAAGTCACCCCACAACATGGCAATGAGAGAGCTTGGATTCGGTCTGCCTGATTAGGGCGGTAAGCACCAACAGGCGGCTCGACCAGAGTATGAGCCGCAGGTCACCGAAGATAGGCACGAACCAACACTAATAAGTCTCCCCCACAATACGGCAATGAGAAGGCTTGGATTCGGTTTGCCTGATTGTTAGGGCTTGTAAGCCCCTGCAGGCAGAGCAGAGCATGCGCTGCAGGGCACCGAACACAGGCACGCATCAGCGCCTAAAAACCTCCTCACAACATGGCGAAGAGAGGACCCGGATTCGGTTTGCCTGATTGATAGGACTTGTAAGAACCTGTGGCAACTCTAGCAAGCAGAGCAGAGTGTGTGCCGCGGGACACCGAAGACAGGCGCGTATCAACGCCAAAAAATAAAAAGAAAGGGGGATCTGTGGGGAGCAACCTGGACTGGACTGAGTTACTGGAATTAAGACTTATTCTATGCATCTGCTCTCCCACAATATGGCGCTGGGAGAGGAGGCAACAGCTTCTACCCAGCTGCCTCTCACCAACTTGACAAGCTGCAGGACCTGCTCCTGATTGGAGGAGAGCAGCGTACTCGGCGTGTGGGCAGCCGAGTTAGGATTGGCGGAGGAGGACTATAAAGGAGGAGAGAGACGGCATGCACCAGGAACATCTAAGGGGAACATCTAAGGGGAACACCTGTGCAGCCCCCGAGAGAGCCGGCCGGCGGTGTGCCGCTCCCCTGCGGAAGTGGGGAATGTGGCCAGGGGGAACTGCCCTTCCACGGAGGTGGAAGGGATAGTAGCCAACCCGGGAAGAACCAGCAGAAAACCCGGGGAGGGCCGAGCAGACGAAAGAACAGCGCAGGGTTTAGTGTCGTTCCTCCACGAAGAGGGGGAGCGACATCACACTATTCTGTTTTTCTGAAGTATTCTTATTTTTATATTTATAAATTATACTTTAATATGTATTTTTAAATATTACATTCAGTTTATTTTAAAAGTTTATTTATTTGTTTGAAAGAGGAGGAATTAGGGGATGGTGAGAGAAAGAGATTGATCTTCCATCAGCTGGTTTACTCGCCAAGTGGCTTCAATGGCCAGAGCTGAGCCAGGCCAACATCCAGGTCTCCCATGTAGGTTAAAGGGCCCAAGTACTTGTGCCATCTTCCCCTGCTTTTCCCAGGCCATTCGCAGGGAGCTGGATTGGAAGTGGAGCAGGTGGGGCATGAACTGGTACCCATATGGGATGCTGCTGTCACAGGGGGCAGCTTTACCTGCTATGCCACAACACCGCCCCCTAGATTTTCTGTTTTATTCCTGTAGCAAAATAAATGGGAAATTATTTTCTTACAAATTTGAGGAAAAATAACAGGATTATTAAAATGCATCCATAAGTCCTTTTCATTTTGGGGATTTGACAACAAAAGATGCATGTAATCCAACTAGGAACGCTCCTGGCACATGGTGGGACTCAGAGAGGCTTGCCAATTTGAGATAGAGGCAGTTACCCAAAGCATGGGTGGTTAACCGGTAGGCTGTGAAGCAGAGAGGCTGCGGTTCAAACCCCAGTTCTGCCATTTTTTGGCTCTCTGGCCTCAGACAACTGCTCAGTAGTGATAACCTCAGTGATGTCATACGGTGGTGATAAGACCTCTCACTGCAGAAAGGACTAAATGAGTGACCGAAGCCCCTGACTCAGAGCTTATGAAAGGCATCTCTGTAATCCCCACATTGCCACCCTGCCCACCACCATTACCATTACTGTGATGCTTATCACTGGTTTAATAATATCTGCAAGAAAAAAGGATAAGGTAAATCCAGGTGCTTATAAAAAAGAAGTTCTTTGAAGTGAAACCCTATAACATGATACAAGTTTCTAGGTGAATTCTAATAACCAAGTTATGCACAGCACTGAGCTAACCAGAATTTTCTAGACACTAGCCCAAGGCAAGGATTGAAGCACTAACACTTTATTTGGTATATAAAAATCTAGGTCAGTGAGGTGAGGAAAAAGAAAAGGGAGTCATAAAAAGCAGAGCATTATGATTTCCCTCTTGTGAGACATCTGAAACAGTCCAACTCATAGAAACAGAGACTGGTGTTGCAAGGGGCTGGGAGGAGGGCAAATGAGGACTTGGTGAGCTTTCTAAGAAAAAACAAGTTCTAGAGATCTGTTTCACAGTCATGTAAATATACTTGACACTACTGGACTATACAGTTAAGTGTGCTTAAGATGGTAAATCTTACAGGTTTTGTATGTGTTCATGTATATGTGTTTAACAAAAAATTTTAAAAGATAGGAGGAGGGATGCAAGGGAGGAAGTGAAACAAAGAGGAGCAGTGGTTCCAGTGCTGGGTACCACTTTGTAAGTCAATCAAGAGACACTGCCAATTGCTTCTCAGCTGCTTCCACTCGACCTGTGAAGCTTTTCTGGACAGACTAGAACTGTACCCATCAGAACAGTGCATAAGAAAGAGGCAAGGGCATTTTCTGCAAAGCCCCCTCCCATCTCTCATAGATCAGAGTTTTACCCCTTGGGGAGTTAATTCCTCTACATTTCCAGGTTGTGGACCTCTCAAACTCCTGTGTGAGATGTCAGTTATCACATTTATGAGTGGCAGGAGAAGCCAAAAACTCCAGCTGGAGGACTGATAGGTCCAGCTGCCCCACAGTAGCCACAAGGGAACAGTCAGCACTCTCAGTACAAGCAGTGTTTGCTGATGGTAAAACTTCTTTCCCAACTGGAAGGAAGTAGGGCCAGAGGAACATGGAGATGCGCATAAGATTTATGACTGAAACACGGCTATCCCTTTCTGTGCTAATGAACTTATCTCTACTGCAGTCCATCTTCTTCAGCAGTCTAAGGGACTTGCTCTGAGTCATTGTGCCTCATGTTAGAAATCACTAGGTTGTTGCTTGACTAGAGGCAAAACTTGATCTTAAGATTGTTCCCCACATTTTTTGCCCTCTGCATTTGGGGGAAAAAAAAAGTGACTCCTAGCTACTTGTTTAGCATGTAACTCAATGGAAGAGAATAGTTTTAAGAGATTTCCTATTCCAAAAAAAAAAAAGTTAAATGTTTGGTTTTTTTAAAGATTTTATTTATTTTAGAGAGTTACGGTCAGTGAGAGGGATAGACAGAAAGATTCTCCATCTGCTGGTTCACTCCCCAAATGGCCACGATAGTCGGAGCTGCGCAGATTTGAAGCCAGGAGCCAGAAGCTTCCTCCAGGTCTCCCACACGGTGCAGGAGCCCAAGCACCTGGGCCATTATCTACTGCTTTCCCAGGTCATAGCAGAGAGCTGGATCAGAAGAGGAACAGCCAAGACTAGAGCTGGTGCCCATATGATATGCCAGCACTGTAGGTGGAGGATTAGCCTACTGCACCACAGCGCCAGCCCCAATGTTTGGTTTTTCATAACCTTTTCAATGATCTGCAAGCATCTCTATAACAGTGTGTTCTAGATTCCTGCTCCAGGCTTTTTCATGGAAGGTTCCTGATAATATCACAAATTCCCTTGTTTTCTTTTGGCTTATTTTCTTTTGAACTAGAATCATCCACATCTGTTTGGAAAGTCATATCAGTCAGTATTTCCTAGAAAAACAGTGACATATAAATGGCACTTTAGAAAATGTGAAAATTATACTTGTTTGTTTCTTCATAGTGTTAGTATAGTTTTTGTATGTAGAAAAGATGTTTTGGTCTGCTCTAATTCATATGGCTTCTAACCAGATGAGAAGACGTGAGAATGGAGCAGGTAGACTCAGGAAGTGGGCTCCTCCAGGTACTGAAATGCAGAGCTGTCTTTAGGGTCATCTAGGTTTTCTCCCCTCCACACTTTGTCTTCCACTTCCCATTGCCCTACATGAAGCTGGAGGTCATTTTGGTTTCAGAAACCAGATAATACCACATTGGTCGTCTTCTGGAGTAATGATATTAGTCCAGAGTAATAAAGGCCTATGGTATAGAAAAAAGTATGCTCTTAGATCCCATGAGACCTGACTTTGAGCATCCATTGCTGAGACAGCTCTCTTCCTTTCTAGGACTTCTGATGACCTATGGAAGTTGCACAGATATGGACTGTTTTATCTCTCTTGTTATTTAAACCAGGCTCTCAACCCAGTCTCGTTCTGTGTGGGCACTTGTGTGAGTAAACCTGTGTGGTTGTTTCATCTCATCTGTAATCTGCAGGAACCCTTCCTCCAGGATGTTAATACAGCCCTGGGAGGGAAGCAGGTACACAATGCTCATGAATTCCTTCAGAATATATAGGCTTTGTTTCTACTTCTTATATTATAGACTATAAATTGAATGCTTGCATATTTTCACTTTTATATTAACATTTGTTTTACAGACCTTTTTAAAATTCTTGGTGGCTAGATTATTATTGAGTGAACATCAGACATACATATCCATTGGACTCTTTTCTTCTGTCAAAAGGAAAAATAAAACTGTTCTGAAAAATCACAACAGATCATCATTATTTACCAGCAGGTTGGCACTTAAGCCTTAAGGGGCTATTAGGAGTCAGAGCAAGAAGAGATGCGTTTGTGATGGTTGGATCTGATTGGTTCCAATTGCTAAGCATTAGAAAGGGAAAGGAAAAATGAGCTGTGCTTATCCAAGGAAGTGCTATCCAGACAAGGCATTCAAGTGTAAGCTCAGTGCATTGTTGGGTCCAAGAGTAGTAGTTTTCTCACCAACTATAACAAAGAAAAAGATGTCTTTTCCAAATCAAATTCTTGTATAAGCATTCTAGTAAATTAATCCAGCTTTCTCAGATACCATCAGTTCAACAGCTTTCAATAAACCTTCATTGAATACTTACCTGGTATGGGCTAGGTGTTAAGGATTCACAGATAAATAAAACAGGATCTGCCCTCAGGGAACTCACAAGCTTGTTAATGATTCAGACAGCAATAAATAATAAATATGCATAATAAGTGCTCTGGGAACATAGTGGAGGTGGTGATTAATTCTGCTGGAGGGGGTAGAAAAGAGTTTTTGGAAGAAACTTTGATCTATGACTGAGAAGTAAGTGGATGTATTAGTTAAGGTAAATAATGCCAGCTGTTAGATAAACCCCCAAATCTCAGTGGAATAGCACAGCAGATTTATTTCTCATTCATGGCCCAGGTCAAGAGTCCAAAGCAGGCCAGCAGTGTCGGAAGGTTCTCCAGGGAGTGATCTGGGGAGTGATCCTTCCCATTGTAGTTTTACCTTATTCCAGATCTTTGAAATAAGAGGTTTGCAGATGATAATTTGTACAGACCACAAATGACTCCCATCACTTCTATTCACATTCTGTTTTCTGGGATTCAGACACGATGTCACACATAACTGAAATAGAGATTAGCATATGTATTTTAGCCAAAATCAAAGAGAAGCACATGGATATAAATAAGAATATGTAAGGTTTTTTTTTTAATCTCAAATAAAACGTATGATTGTCCTTGGAAAATGTTATTTGGGGATGATTCTATTCAGTCCTTGATCAGAATGTGCTTGGCTTATTTTACTACAAAACTAAGTGCCTTTTCCTGTTTCAAACTAAAATCATTGTAAATAAACATGTGAATCCAGTCTCTGTGAAAACAGCTGATTAATGGAACTCTCAGAACTATGTGGGTGTTGGTGAAAAATGCTTGACATCGTAACCAGTTCACTTCATTCATCCATTTAATTTTTTTATAACCATCCGCTGTGTTGTGTCTTAAATGGAAGCTTATAACCATAATAAATTGCTATGTCAGACTTTGTTATGGTTTATAGTATGGACAAATATTTCCCCTCCACAAGAAGCATTTTCATTAGTGATTTGCTGGAAAATTGAGAGCCTGCCAGTGAAGATGATAATCTAGTGTTCTCCCCCTCCGTGCTTATGGTGTTTGTCTCTTGGATTTGTGATGCATTTTCTTTATTGATGTTTACTTATTAGGGCTCTGTGCCTTGCTTTTATTTGAAATCATAGCAGGTCAATTTAGATTTTGCTTCCTACCATTGGATCATCATGTAGTCATTAAGTTTGTGACACATGTTGTTAGCATTTTCAGATTATATGTGAAACTTAAAAGCAAATTTGCCAAGTTTATAAGTGAAGTAAATTTTGTCTAAAATCTAAATCTATCTATTTTAGCTAAACAAACTGTGAAATGTTTCTCATTGGGGTTAATGAAAGCACCACCCTAAATCTGTATTCTCATTTAATTCAATATTAAATCATGGAGCCTTTGCCTAAGAACCATCCATGAATACCAAGGAAACCTACGCCTGCCCTTGAAGTGCTCACTCTACTGGGGAAAGAAGGCTTGGTGGAAGAGGTGACTTTTGAGCCAGGTTAGAAGTGAAGTAGACTAAACTCAGCCCTTAGTAGTTGACCCTTGGGCTCCACCTTGTGCTTCTGGAAGAAACAATCTTGAGTATTTTACCTTGCGTTTCTGAAGGGTGTGGCTAGGTTGAGGGTTTGAGTGGGTACAGAGTGAAGAACACAGGAAAAGAGAATAGTTTCCAATTTATGCCAGCCCTTTGAGCATCTGTTGATAATCATGTCCCTCTTCGCTTCTCTCCTTGCCTCGCTATTCTATGTGTCTCAGTTTTGTTTTTAATCTTTGATTCCTCTGTTCTCTTTCTGTTCTTTTCCTCTTCATTACATTTAGAGTTGGTGGAGGTAAACTGTACAATGATGGAATGCAAAGTACTGTTGCAGCAGCCACTCCAGTGTCCTTACCTTACGGTCTAATAAGAATTCTAGAGAGCCCCAGAAGTCGCATCTGTAATTCCTTCTCAGTTTCTCATTTGGGCAGTATTTTTTATTTTAACTTAAAACATTTTTTTTTTAAAAATCAATGTTATCTTCCCCAAAGCAGACTGCTATAATAAACATATGAAGATGAAAGAGAATAAAGCCATAGCAACCTTAGAATATTTTAGTCTTTATTGGTTTAAATCAATCTTCCTATTACTGTAGGAGATAAATTACAGTTCATTGCCTATGCTGTTTTAATGATCACATGTAAAGAATTTATTTTAAATTCTCTTTGATATCTGTAGTTTTGTGACTTAACCCCTATTTCACAAGACTTGCTTATTCTACAAAATTCTGTTGCTGTTAGAATGTATCATTTAACACTGATTTTTAGGGTTATATTCTTTTTAGCATCTGTAGCTATTTTGGCATGCTATTTTGACTTAGAAGACTTATTTAAAGTTGTTACTCCAAAGCAACTATATGTCCTTAGAATCGTACAGAGTGTGTCAAACCTAGGCTGACCCTGTTGCCTGAGTTGACTGGGAGAAGCCAGCTGAGATGATGTGGGGAAAGATGAACTGTTTCCTTCTCCCAATGTGTGAGGTTATACCTCAGCTCAGTTTCTTGCAGGACTCATGGCTTCTTTGCTTTGAGAGCTAGACCAGCATGTCTGGGGGCTTGCCATTCTCTAATAGTCCATCTAAACAGCTGGTGGCTAATCTAGAGGCTGTGTGGCATTAAGCACTGACGAAGAAGCTTCCTGTGCTTGACCTACGCTATGGAGGCACAGAGAAGTGTGGGATTTTCCCCCTGTAACTCAAATCCAAAGCACGGCAACAGCTTCACCCAGCCCTAGCCTACTTCTATGTGGGATGATGGATCTCAAGAACCCTTGGCTTATGTACTCTATCAGTCAGCTTTTTGTTACTGTACTAAGATACATGAAAGGACCTTCTGGGGAAAGAAAAGGTTTATGTCAGTTTCAAGTTTCGGGGTTCACAGTTCCAGACTGGGTGGCCCATCAGTGAGGTTCCTAGTGGAGACTGGCAATGTTGAGCACGGGTGGAAGGACAGTCACATGGTGAGCCAGGAAGCAGAGAAACAGATGGGAACCAGGCTCTGCTTGTATAATCACCCCTCCCATGAGAGCTAACATCTGAGGGCAAGTCTGCCATGTCCTAAAGACCTCCCCATAGGCCCACCTACCAGAGAACATAATTAAAACAACTCTTCACCTTTTTTTTAAAGATTTATTTACTTATTTGAAAGTCAGAGTTACACAGAGAGGAGAGGCAGAGAGATAGAGAGGTCTTCCATGCGCTGGTTCACTCCCCAGATGGCCACAATGGCTGGAGCTGCACTGATCCGAAGCCAGAAGCCAGGAGCTTCTTTTGGGTCTCCCATGTGGGTGCAGGGGCCCAAGGACTTGGAACATTTTCTTCTGCTTTCCCAGACCAGAGAAGAGAGCTGGATGGGAAGTGGAGCAGCTGGGATGAGATGCTGGCACTGCAGGCAGTGGCTTTACCCACTATGCCACAGTGCTGGCCCCAACTCTCCACCCTTGATCCATCAACACTTAATGTAAAACCTTTGAGTTGAAACATCTGAATAGGTTTGGGGAGCCAAGTCCTGTTCAACACATAATATACACATTGCCCTAAAAGAGCCTGCTTTTCAATTCAAGCGGTAGGATGGAGTAGAGTTCTTAGGCTGGCAGATGAAACTCATCTGGTGTGACAGTACTGGGCAAGGGAAAGCAAACTAATATGATTTTCAATTACCTGTTAGCAGAGAAGAAAAAGGCATGAACCCATCCAGCAGCATTTACATTAGACACGTCTGTGTTGGAATCCTTTGTCTCCAGCTTGTTGTGGCTGACTTTGTGGAGGTAGTTAAGGCAGTGTGGGATGCCTCTACTGGTACTTCATTTTCAGCCTGAGGAATGAGATGGGTATGAGAAAAGTGATCAATGAAATAATCTGACTTTGTTTGTTAGGGTATCAGGAAAGTGTGAAAAATATTCCTCTCTCATAGACCCATGTGGACAACAGCAGTGCACCATGAAGGGGACCAGACTTTTCTATCCTGCTACTCTACCACCTGGGTCATTTTCTTACCCAGATATCTCACTGCCGGTATAGCGGTATTTCAGCCAACAGGAAGGGTGAAAGAGGAAGAGAGAGACACTGAGAAAATGCACACATCAACTCTGCTCACAACAAGTTCTGCGGGGCAGGCTGGGAAATGATGTCATCCCCACTTATTTCTAGGTGACAAAACTGCCAAGTTATCAGCACAGGAAGTCTGTCAACTAGAGGCTGGTTAACGAAAAGGATTATAGTTTTTTCAAAATCAGAATTTAAGAAGAGTCAATAAAACCCAGCAGAAAATGTATAAATTATGTACACAAACCTCATTTAGAGAACAGAAAAAGTCTCATGAGTTTGTCCATAGAAGAGCCATTGCCTAATACACAGCTGAGAAAAGGCAAGTTATCTAGGGTGAATGAAAATGTGAGGACCTTTGGGAGCTAAGTTGGTTTCTTTCATAAATTATACTGAGTTAACAGTGCAGAGAAACAGATGAATCAATAAATGGTGTCATCCATTTAACATCTACTGTATGCCTAGTATGTGCCAAGTATTGGGTTACAGATTATAAGAAAGTGAGGGAGACATAGATTTTATTCTTAAGTAGCTCTTATTGTATGGGGAAAGTATGTAATTAAAGCATTATAATTATTATTCCCAGATAAAATTAGACCTTTTATATTAAAAAAAAAAGAGTAGGATAAGAAGACTGGATACCAATGGGCAAATAGCAGTCTCCAGTGTTGTTGGTATATTAATTACTCAATGGATGTTAAGTGTCAGTGAGGTGTTATCCCTGCTTAAGATTCAGTAGTTGTTTTCTGTCTATCTCATGTGTAGTGAAAAGCATGAGGTCTTCAATATAAGGTCTGTAAGAATGTTTACCTTGGGGATTATACACGTCTGCATAGTAGAAATATTTTGTAGAATTCAATTTTATCCTTGCTGTTTATTAAAATTTATTTTTATTGATCTGAAAGTTAGAGCTATAGTGAGAAAGAGAGACAGACTTAGACTAACAGATGTCTCCCTTGTTCTTGTTCACTCCCTGAATGCCCACAGTAGCCAGGGTTGGGCTAAGCAGAAACTAGGATCCCAAATTCCATCTGGGTCTCCCACAAGAGAGGCAAGGACATCACCTTCTGATTCCCAGAGTGTGCATTAATGGGAAACTGGATTGGAAACAGTGAGGGAACTCGGATACAGGCAGTCCAGTGTGGAATGCAGTTGCCTTAACTGTTAGGCTAAATACCTGCCCCATCTTTGTTATTTAGAAACAGTGTTTTAGGGACTGGCACTGTGGCATAGTGCCTGCAGTGCTGGCATCCCACATGGGTGCCAGTTCAAGTCCTACCTGCTCCACTTCCCATCCAGTTCTTTGCTATGGCCTGGGAAAGCAGTAGAAGATGGCCCAAGTCCTTGGGCCTGTGCACCCATGTGGGAGATCCAGAAGAAGCTCCTGGCTCTTGGCTTTGGATGGATGCAGCTCTAGCCATTGCAGCCAACTGGCGAGTGAACCAGCAGATGGAAGACCTCTCTCTCTCTGCCTCTCTTCTCTGTGTATTGACTTTCAAATAAATACATTTTTAAAAATACATAAAACAGTATTTTAAAAATTATAGGAGCAAACAAATTAGAGCATAGGGGATATAAAGACCTGGGACATCTGGATAGGAGAAAACCATATGGAAGTCCACACACCCAAGAAACAGACAACCATTTGCTGGTCTGGTCTATCACTCATCATTGTGAAACAAATCAGTTTTAATCTTCTGCACAACAAAGATAGAACTGGACCTTAAGTATCCCTGTATCCTTCAACCACATCTTAAGGCTTCCAGATACATTCAGTGTTCTCAGGACAGCATGTGGTTTGTTACTTATGGAGCTGTGGGATTCATGCCATTAACCCTGGGAGATGAAGGATGTGCCAGATAAGCTGGCAATCTAGGCAGGAACAAATACAACAGGATGGGGGGTACAGGGATTTCTATTACCCTTCTTTTATGTATGAATAAGTCAAGCTACAGAGAATTAAATATGGCTTCTAAGATTGTACAGCTATATTTGGTGATACCAGGATTGCCACCCAGGCAGTCTAGCTCTAGAATTTCCGTATAAGTAATTGATATTAACGACTTGGAACTGTGGAGAAGTTATAGAATAAGAATGCAGGATGAAAAAGGGAAATGCATAAATATATAAGCACACTACCAATAATTTGATATATATATCTCTATACAAATTTTTTAAGGATTTATTTATTGGAGGAGTTATAGACAGAAATGTTCTGTTGGCTAGTTCATTCCCCAAATATCTGTAATGGCCTGGCCAAAACCAGGAGCTTCACCTGGGTCTCCCACATGGTTGGAAAGGGCCCAGGCACTTGGGCCATCTTCTTCTACTTTCCCAGGCCATTAGCAGGAAGCTGGATCAGAAGTGGAGCAGCTGGGACACAAACGGGCACCCATATGGGATGTCAGCATCCAAGTGATGGCTTTAACCACCAAGCCACAATTGTGACTCCTATATACATATTTAAATTTTATTTATATATACATTTTTATCGTGTGTGTGTGTGTGTGTGTGTTAAAGGAAAACCTTTGAGGCCAGCGCTGAGGTATGCCAGTAGTATAAGCCTCTGCCTGCAGCACTGATATCCCATATGGGGCCCAGTTCACGTCCTGGCTGCTCCACTTTTGATCCAGCTCTCTGCTTGAGGCCTGGGAAGGCAATGGAAGATGGCCCAAGTGTTTGGGCCCCTGGATCTCATGGGAGGCTAGAGGAAGTTGCTGGCTCTGAGTTTCAGATTGGGTCAGCTCCAACTATTGAGGCCATTTGGGGAGTGAACCAGTGGAAGGAAGACCTTTATTTCTGTCTGTCTGTCTGTCTGTATGTCTCTCTCTCTCTCTGTAACTGCCTCTCAAACAAATAAATAAAATCTTTTCAAAAATAAAATAAAAATAAAGCAAAACCTTTGGGGTGAATATTGTCAAACAGCAGGTTAAGCCATCACTTGGATGTCTGCATCCCATATCAAGAATGCCTGGGATCTAATCTTGCCGCTTTCCCCAGTTTAACTTTCTCTTAATACATACTCTGGGAGGCAGCAGGTGATGGCTCAAATACTTGGAATCTTGCCATCACATGGGAGACCCAGGTGGATTTTCTGGCTCCTGGCTTCAGCCTGGCCCAGGCCCAACTATTGTAGACATTTGAGGTGTGAACTAGTATATGGAAGATCTCTTTCTTTGTCTCTTTGTCTCTCTAGCTCGGTCATTCTATTTTCAAATAACTAACTGCATTTTTAAAAAAGAGCAAAAGCTTCATTTTTCAAAAATCAATCGATAAGCTTACATATTCATTTAAGAAACAGAGACAGAGAAACAGAATGAGAGAAACAGAGACAGCCCGCATCCACTGGTTCATCTCTATCTGCTCACAATGACTGGGACTGGAACAGGCCAAAGCTAGGTCTCTGACATGGATGACAGAGACGAGTCGTTTGGGGTCTATTACTTGCTATTTACCAGGGTGCAGGTTAGCAGTATGCTGGAGTTGGGAACAGAGTCAGGATTCAAACCCAGACACTCCAATATGGAAGTCATATCCACTACTCCTAATGCCAACCTCTATCATTTTTGAACTTTTATTGAATGTGAATTATAGTTTATTTTATTCAAAGTATACATCTTTCACTGTCTTTGGAGTAAAAGAGAAGATCAAACATTTATTGAGTATTAATAAGCCAGGCACTCTGCATTTTGAAGGAGTTCTCAGAACTCTGGAAAAAAAGTAGTTATTAAACTCATTTTGCAGATTAAGAGACGGTGTCTCAGAAAGCTTACATCCTTTAGCTCTTCTTGTGTGTAAGCTTTTGCTCAAAGCTAGATGCAACTTTTCTTATGTTTGCTGTGTTTCCCGTCCTCTATTGTTCTTAAATAAAATACCTTTTGAAACTGTTTTCTGTTGAGCCTTACCTGTCTGTTCAGTCATCTAATAAGAAAGCTTAGGAAGAAATGCTTCTTTAACCTCAGAGGTAATTTACATTTGAGGTCACTGTCAAGAGTGTGCAGTATAAGTATATAAATATAAAGTATATTTTAAGGGATTTGTTAATACATTAGGTTCTCAGGGTCACAGAAAATGCATGATAACTACTACAACACAATTCTCATCAACTGGGTTACTGTTTACAGCCCTTGTCTATGTTCAGGCTGACCTATGGTCGTTTTACTTGTTGAATCCTATTAAGTGGAGCATTGTGCTTTTGACAAAAATGTAAGTTAAAAATATGTTATCTAAAATATATTCTTTTCATGTACACAATTAGCTCTTAGATTGTTTCAGTAATAGTGTTGTGGTTATTATTTAAATTAGAAATCTTCATTTGATATCCCTTTTTTGTAACCTACTTTTCCATTTTCAAGTAGTATATGTAGTCAGACAATCTGGATATAACATTTATTTACTTGTTTTTTTTTTTTCCCTCTTAGTCTTTCTAGAAATTATCTGAAATTTTATCTTTCAGGATAATTTGTTCATTTCCCTCTCAGTTCACTTCTTCACAACTTCCAACAAATATATTCATATATTTTTGTTATTTGTTTTCCAAATCCAATACTGTTCTATTCATGCTTTCTTTTCTATCACAATATGTAATTTAATTGTAGCTAGTCAGCATAACCTCCCATCCTCACTATTGCATAATGCAGGTGATGCATAACTGAGATGGATATGGCTTACTTCATTATAACACGGTTTTTCCAATAAGTGGATTCTAATAATGCATTGTTCTGCAAGCAGTGGCCTGTAGTGAGCAGACACTAAAGACTTGCAAGCTTTCCCAGCTGAAAAACAACTCTTTCCTGTAAACTGCCAATTAGCAATCCATTTGGATTAACAACTTCCTTTAAAATGTCAGTGCTTGCTGGAAAGGTTAATCTAATCAGCCATTCACACCTTTGTGCATGAGATATGATTACTTCAATGAGATAATCATATTCTTTTCCTCTCAGTACATAATCCTGCTCCGTCACAGTGGTATAGGCATATAAGTAATGTGAGCATTTTGAGGCATTCCATGGAAGTGTTTGGCTGAGCTAAGAGGTCCAGGGGTGGAGAAGGGTGGGTGCCTACTGGATGCCATCACAATAGCTTTCTTGCACTCTGTATAGCATGTGCAGTTTTCCCAGTTTTATAAAACAGTGGAATGCAAACTTCAATATATATAACACATAACATAATTTTTTAAAATATTTATTTGCTGCAAAAAAGTTCTGGAGACTGGTGCTGTGGTACAACTGGTTAAGCCACTTCCTGTGATGCCTGCATCCCATATAGGCAATGGTTTGAGTCCTGGCTAATCCACCTCTGATCCAACTCCCTGCTAATGTGACTGGGAAAGCAATGGAAGATGTCCCAAGAACTTGGATCCTTGCCACCCATGTGGGAGACCCAGCTGGAATTCAAGGCTCCTGATTTCTGTCTGGCCCAGTCCCAGTTGTTGTGATTTGGGGAATGAACAAGTGGATGGAAGATCTCTCTCCCTCTCACTCTTCCTATCCTTCTCCTTTCCCCTTCCCCTCACTGTTACACTGCCTTTCAAATAAATAAATACATCTTTGAAAAATTCTGAAACCCATGCATAATTTTTTCATAATGTATGCTTAAAGAAAATTTCTGTGTTTTCTTTGTATTTAAAGAGGGTGGAGAGTTGATTGATTGATTCCATACACTGATTCATTCCCAAAATGTCTGCGATGGCCAAGGCTGAGCCAAGTCAAAGCCAGGATCCCAGAACTCAACTTGAGTCTTCTCTCATGTGGCTAGCAAGGACTCAGCTACTCGAAGCATCATCTGCTGCCTCCCAAGCTGTGCATTAGCAGGAAGCTGGATCAGAATGGGTTAGCCAGGACTTGAACCAGGCACTGTTATGGATTTCAGGGATTCCAAGTTGCCAGGTAAGCTGCTGCAGCAAATGTCTACCCCCATAATATACCTATTCTTGAGCTTTTTGAAACTCTGTCCTGTGCATGGACTTAAAAAATGTGCATGAAAATAAACCTATCTTTTAATTCCATATTTCCACAAAGTTTTTGAAATGCTCTTGTATTTGTCCTATGCACAGGAATATGAACTGCTCAAAAAAACAAACATTATCCTGTTCATCCTTATTTCTAGAATTCCTAGTGTAATATCTGAGTCCCACAGGGAACAGAATAAATGTTTAATGAGTGACTACATTCATTCATCCACCTGTTTTTTTCTTATTATTTACTCTGACTCCTAATTTAACACTTACCCCATGTAACTTGCCTTTCTTCAGCTTTGATGCACCCATGAATCTTGGCCAAACTAGTGAGGTCCTTCTGTGTGTTACATAAATTGCTTGTGTATTTTCTGCAGACTTTGACAGATTACTCCTGAATGCTGATTCAATAAAACTGCAATCCTTTTTACTGACTAGTTTATATATGTTGTAGTCAGACTTCCTGCAGAGGTAATTTGGCAGCTTTGCCACCTGGGAGCAATAGAGGCTTTGATGTTGCTTGCTATCCATGGATGTCATGTGATGGGGAGATCCTTTCCATTACAGCTGTCAGGTGATGCATAAAATGTTTTGTCCTGACATTCAAGTGGTTTCTGTAATGCAGTGCTTCCTACACTTGCCTTTTATGGGATCAAAATGTCTGCTAAATCAGAAACCCAATTCATTAATTCTTTGTCATATAATACTATGCATTTAGTAAATGTCAGCAGTACTAATAGAGCTGTTTATAATACAACAGGGTACGTTTTCTTTGTGTGAAACTAAAGTATGATGGATAGGTTAAACAAAGGAAGAAGAAAAATAATGGTTGGATAGTATCAGATGGATGACATTGGATGGTTCTTCCATACACAGAGTGAGGCCCTGAGACTGAAACCTTAGTGGCTGGACTAAAAGTGCAAAGACAGGAGATACATGGAGTAGGCGAGGCCTCCCGGGATACCTAGAAATGAAGAGATAACATGGAGTTCGAGGTCTGCAATGAGTTTGACAGTTCAGAGCAGACTACTTCACCATCAGGGACTCTGATCCAGACATAACTGGGTGCTCTGTAGGATCCAAACCCAGGACCACATATCAGGGAGCCGGAATTCAGCTGAAGAGTCTCAGAGTGAGAGGAATTACAAACTCATTAAAATATTGGTGCTGGAGAGACAGGCACTATGATTTTTTTTGTTTGTTTTTAATTCATTCTGAGACACTAGTCTGCAAAAGGAGGTAGTCTGAGAAATGCAGTCAGAATGGAGTGGATGGAGAAGGAGTGATTGGGGGCGGGAAAGGCTATTCTTATAGAAATGGATTTGTTTTTCCTGGAATGCAGGACCCTCTTGACAAATGTCCTGGGGAGAGTAAAGAGGGAAAATGACCATAAATGAGATTAGCTCTCAGCAGTACTTCATTTATTCCAGGGTTGTGCGTTTATGTGCTTGTTTATTAACTGATCAGGCTGCTTACTTTGGAAACTTTCCTCTATTACCAGCTGGAAAAATTGGAGCTAGTTAGATCTCCAGGGCATGCTCTGGAATGAAGATAATATTTTAATTATGACACAGGAGCAGTGGAGAAACACTGAAGGGGCCTGAAAAGAAACCGTTGTTATCATAGGTTAAGGGCAGCTGTAGATGGAGAAGCTACTTCAATAAGAATTTGCCCTCTTCTGTTTGAACATGTCACGTTTAAAGGAGAGGTGTTTTTGTTTTGTTTTGTTTTGTTTTGACAAGCAGAGTTAGTGAGAGAGAGAGAGAGAGAGACAGAGAGAAAGGTCTTCCTTCTGTTGGTTCACCCCCCCAAATGGCCACTACAGCAGGCGCACTGTGCCGAACGAAGCCAGGAGCCAGGTGCTTCCTTCTGGTCTCCCATACAGGTGCAGGGCACAAGCACTTGGGCCATCCTCCACTGCACTCCCGGGCCACAGCAGAGAGCTGGACTGGAAGAGGAGCAACCAGGACAGAACCGGCGCACTAACTGGTACTAGAACCCGGAGTCCAGTGCCGCAGGCAGAGGATTAGCCTAGTGAGCCACGACACCGGCCAAAGGAGAAGTCTTTTACAAAGATTTCACTCTTTCCATAGTTGTGGCTCTTGTGGTAATCCAACAGAAACTAGTGCTTTTGAATAGAAACTGATTGATTTACTGGTATGTTATGCCACTACCATTAATTTCGTCTGGTTTGATCATATAATGTTACCTTTCCTTCCCCTTCTCATTATCCTCTGAGGGTTAGGAGTGGGGGTGGGGCTACCACATACCCTGAAGACTCAAAGACAGGATCCTGATAAAGGTCATCAAATACTTGCTCACAAAATAGTGTATATCCATCACGACGGCCTTTACTTACTGCATGAAAATGTGGTACTCTTCCATGCTGGCTGATTGACATTGTCCAGGTCCCTGATTCCTGATTCACAGATCTAGTTGGATAAGTCGTACTTTGGTTTCTGACGGGTTTCTTCTGCATGATCCCTACTTTGAGATTCATAATGTCTCCTTGATCACTGTACAAGCTCAGACAATAGCAGGACTCTTTGTGTGTGTGTGTGAAATCTATATATTTATTTACTTATTTTTAAACTTTATTTAATAAATATAATTTCCAAAAGTACAACTTTTGGATTATAGCGGTTCCCCCCCCCCCAACCACCCTTCCACCCGCAACCATCCCATCTTCCACTCCCTCTCCCATCCCATTCTTCATTAAGATTCATTTTTAATTATCTTTATGTACAGAAGATCAACTTAGTATATACTAAGTAAAGATTTCAACAATTTGCACCCACACAAAGTATAAAGTATTGTTTGAATACTAGTTTTACCATTAATTCACATAGTACAGCACATTAAGGACAGAGATTCTACATGGGGAGTAAGTGCACAGTGACTCCCATTATTGACTTAACAATTGATACTCTTATTTATGACATCAGTAATCACCCGAGGCTCTTGTCATGAGCTGCCAAGGCTATGGAAGCCTCTTGAGTTCACAAACTCCGACCTTATTTAGACAAGGCCATAGTCAAAGTGGAAGTTCTCTCCTCCCTTCAGAGAAAGGTACCTCCTTCTTTGGTGGTCCGTTCTTTCCGCTGGGATCTCATGGAGATCTTTGATTTAGGTCATTATTTTGCCACAATGTCTTGGTTTTCCATGCGTGAGAAACTCTCATGGGCTTTTTAGCCAGATCCAAATGCCTTAAGGGCTGACTCTGAGGCCAGAGTGAATAGCAGGATTCTTGCTGTTACCCACATTTAGCCCTTCCACTTTTGGGAGGTTGCCACTAGTCCAGTGGCAACTTTTTCTACCCCTTATTTGGAGATTAGAATGTGTCTTCTAGTAACCTGCAGCTATAGCTATTCCCCCCAGATTTTTTCAACAACTATTTAATGAGTATTTGCTTTATGCCATGTGTTACACCAAGCCTGGCGGTGAGTATTAGGTGAATAAATACAGTTCTTGTATTCTAGCTTCAGAATGATTCTCTTATTCATTTGTTTTTATGCCCAGGGTGTCTATGAGGCCTACTTATTTGCCTTGAGAAATATGTCTCTTGTTGGACTATTTATTGGCAAAGTCTGATCCAAAAAGGATACTAGCACTGTAGTATTTTGAAGAAGTTCTTTATCATCTGAACATTAACTATGTGAATAACAGCCATAATGCTCTTATTTCAATATAAATTTAATTCTTTCATTGCTAATTTTGTCTCACGTTTTACTAGCCCTTAACTGCATTGAATTAACTATTTTTAATTGCTAAAGTATAGGTCATAAATTTGACTGACATTTCTTTATTTTTTATTGCCTGATCAGGTTTCATTTGCCCTTCTCTTCTCTCAGCCTGCAAATTCAACTTATCCTGGGAGGAAATAACATCCATTTCCTCCGATGTTACTGTTTTCAGTTTCCCATTCCATGTCTCACTTGAAACCACTTTACTATGAAGTCTTTCTGACATTTTCTGGATAAAATTTATAGAGCGTGATACCAAAGATTGGACACAGATCCTTCTTGTCCCAGTAGTACAAATCTGTTTATCACCTTACCTCTACTTAACCTTTATTCAGGATGATCTTGGAAATGCTGTGGTTGTTTTCACTTTATGTTCTAATTAGCATCCTGTGGTAGTATTCATACATTCTACTTCCAACATTGGAATGTCCTTCTGGGCAGCATGGCAGTTCCTTGATGATAATGAACATTCCAGTGTCGGTTTCTTGTTTGGACTCCTCTGTCTTTTCCCTTCTCCCTTTCTTCCCTTTCTCCCTCCTTCCCAACTTTCCCTCTCCCTCTCCTATTTTTTCCAAGGAAGATATTTTCTTAGTGATTCATTTGTAGCAAATATCCCAACTTTCTTGAAAGAAAAGATGAGAACACTTCTAGTAAAAATGCAAATAGAATAGGACAGTTAACGTCAGAAAGAAAGATCAGACCTCTCATAGCAGAAACTCTTCATGGAGTTTTCTGCAATAAACTTCTGAAAAACTGGCAGCCCTTATAAATCAAAGACAAGATAATACAGGAGTAAGGACAAACTCTAGATACTGTATAAAGCAGAGAAGAAAAAGTACAGTGGTGTGTAATTTTATACTTCAATATTGTGATCTGCTGACAAAATATTTTCTCTGGTTGAACAAAGAATTGGCAAATAGGATGGAAAACAATGAAAAGGGAAAAAATGTCAGGGAAAGAAAAGGATCAGGCAACGGCTGCTGTTTTCAAGATGGGAATCCGTGGTTTTCTCGGAACATGCAGCTGTGCTGATTTAGCTTTGTTGTATCCTGCCCTATCTAACACCATAGACACTAGCTAGGTACATGTAGCTCTAGAGTATTTGAAGTGTTGTTAGTCTAAATAGATGTGCTATTAATGTAACATATGTGCCAGATTCCAAGTCTTAGCAACCTTCCACAATATAAAGTATCTTAATAACTTTGATTGATTACACGTTGAAATGGGATTTTTAATAGATTGGATTAAATGAAACATTGTTCAAATGAATTCTGAATTCCACTTATCTCTTTATATTTTAAAATGTGTCTAATGAATGTTTTAATTTGCATATATGGCTTCCATGGTGTTTCTGGTCTAGCCCCATATTTCATTGACATGATTATCTTCTGTTTCAGATTTTCACTTCTCTTTGGTTACTTGTGTTCTCATTTTACTTTCTCTCATCTTCTCCCTGTGAGTTGGATAATTTTCTTAGATAGTTGTTTTATCTGTTTTGGAAATTTGCTTTTTAAAACAGGAGGTAGATATGATTAAAGAGAATTCAGAGTCTAATTGGAGAATTATTTTTATGGACAGGCCCTGGAGACAATCCTCTGAAATAAAGGAATTTTAAGTACCCTTTAAGTAAGAATTTCTAACAAATTTTCATTATTGGTAGGTACACCATACAAACAACACCAAGGAGAATAAAATGGTTCAGAATAATTCTCTTTTTATTGCTATTAGTTGCAGTAGATGTTGCATCATCTTTGAAAAACAGGACTACAAACACTTGTTAAAGAGGAGGCTGCTTTTCTACTCCTTCAGCCATGCTCCTTTCTCATAGATTCAAGAATCCTTTGTCAAATTGAACATTTTTCTTTTAATTGCATTTCTAATAAAACATGTGTCCATGTCATTTTCACATCTGGCTATTCTGAGAGAAAATGTGGACCCTTCACCAAGACTGAGAAACAGGCTTTGTTTCAGCTAACTTCTGGTTCCATCAAATCCTAGCCTAATTTTTCTTAAATGCAACATTTAGATAATCAGAATAATTACTCATGGGATTGTTGTGAAGAGTAAATGAGATAATTATCCTAGGCATTCAGCACAGTGTCTGGGACATTTGCCATTGGGTAGGTATTGGTTGCTTTTAGAACTTTGATTCTGAAAACACAGTTTTCATTTATTTCCCAAGTTTGGGCTTGCTTTTTCTAATAGAGGAATCAACAGAAGGCTATGTAATTTTTTGCAACATCTTTAATGAGTTAAAAGCACTCTTGGCATTCATACTCAAGTCTCAACCTTTCTGTGCACTGGGCTAGGAGCCAGAAGTTTTGCCAGCCACAGTTCCAATTCTGTGAGGATCTGGAGTGAATACAGTCCAGCAGCCCATTGTTAAAAGTCAAGAACCTCACGTCAAGGCTGACCCCAATGTTTGTATATTTCTGCCTTTCTAAGCCTCAGGCTCCTTATCTATAAAATGGAGCTGAATTGGGGACCACCTCATAGGAATTCTGTGAGGTTTAAATTACATCATCAAACTATGATCAACTTTTGAACCTGTCATATTTGTAATTTCTCCATAGATGTTAGTGATTATGGTCTACATTCTAATGTTAGTTCTTCTGTTGCCAGGAGTTACAACAGACAAGTTCTCAGATGACTGAAACAATCTCATCATTTTTGCTCAGTTTTTAATCATGGCCAAAGCAAAATGTAGTCTCTGTGTTTATGGTCACTGGGAAATGTACTGACTCACTAATAATGTCAGTCTGTGAACAGTCTGGGTGAGGAGGCAACATGAGACAGTGAGCTTCCATCTAGGCAACAGATTTATGCCTTCACGGTACTGCAACAGAAGATACATCAAGGGCATTTAGTACTCCCCTTTCTTCTTCACACTTAATATCGCTTCCCTGCCCCCACCCCCACAATACCCTATTTCCACTCCTTCTCCCACTAGCACACAGCATAAGCTTCCATCTTCTCTCCTCTGGTCTGTTCCTGTAACCTCCTAGCTAGTCCCTCTGCATTCCCTCTTGTTCCTTCTGATCCATAATCTTCATGTCACAGGAATCATCTTTCTCAAAACAGAATCGACCTTTTGTCTCTCTCCTGCTTAAAAATCCAAGGGTTACATGTTGCTTTTGGGGAAAAATGAAATCCTTTTCTTTTAAGATTTAGCTAGTTCTCTAAAAGGCAAAGTGGCAGGTAGAGAGAGAGAGAGAGAGAGAGCACAAGTGATTGCAGCTATCTGTTGGTTTAGTCCCTAATGGCAAATACCAAATCCAGGAGCCAAGAACCCCATCCTGGTCTCCCACGTGGTTGGCAGGGGCCCAAGTACTTGGACCATCCTCTGTTGCTTTCCCAGGAGCATTAGCAGAAAGCTGAAAGCAGAGCAACTGTGACTCAACCTGGCGCTCCTGTGTGGGATGCCAGTATCCCAGGCTGCGGCTTAATCCACTGCACCACAACACCAGCCCACAAAACAAAATCTTCAACATAAATTACAGAACACTCATGTTCTGACCTCTGCCTGCCTCCTCACCATCTTCTGCTCTGCTGCCTCTCAAGCCCCCTCCCTAGTTCCTTCCAAACCACGAACACTGAAGTCTTCAGTTCAAGAGGTCCCGGCTCCTAGAAATGATTTTCCTTCCAAATGCTTCCCTTCTCTAGCATTTCTCTTCACATCGGGGCTTCCTTGATTTCTCTCTGCTGCTCACCTCCCATTGTGAAATGCTCTTCGCACTGTGTCCTGTCCTTTCCAGTGCATTATCACAACTGTATTTGGTAATCATCTGTTTGACGTTTAGCTTCTCAACTAGAACATAAACATCATGAGAGCACAAAGGTTGCTTTGTTCCTTGAGGCATCCTGATTGCCTGCCAGGGTACCCGGCACAGGTGATGACTAAATGTTTTTGAAAAGAGTGGCCAAAGGTAAAATAATAGGTTCAATGCAGAATAAAGAGATGTGGCGGTGTCATTGACTTTCACAAATAATCTCAAAGGGATAGAGGATTGAAGAGAATGGAAGAAGAAGATAGAGATTGTTCCAGAAAAGCTGGCGAGATAAGGAGTAATGAGATGATTTCC